ACCAGTGATTCTTACTAGTTAGACAGTAGGAGGGAGAATATTCCAGTCATGGGGGCCAGCCAGCGAAAGGAGCAAAGACTGTATGTGGAGTGATGTTTTAGAGAAAGATTTGGCAACTGAATGGATATGTGGCTTGAGCTAGGTGCAGAAGATACTAAAACAAATTTGTTGGTAATAGTTCCTTTCCTATGTTTTGGTGGTTTGTTTTATGCTCATGTACTACTGATAAAGTTTTCAAATGGAATTAGTAAGTTTGCCTGATGGGCATTTTTTGGGGATGAGAGTCATTTTGAACAGTTGGGGAAACATAGCAGTGTGTTCATCTGGTTTCATTGTTTAAAATGGCCTTTTATGGAAGAACTAGCACAGTGATTATCTGTGCCTGGAAAACTGAGGAAGAGCAGCCAGATAATCCATAGAAAATTCAAGAAGTGTTGTTATAGTTTGTATTCTAATGTTTTAAAAGGCTAAATGATTTAGGAGGAAAGGAAACATTTGGTTGATTTCAAGTAGCCCTAACCACAAGCTCCTAACAGAGTGTTTTTACTCATGGTATAAACTAACTTGTATTTGTCTATTTTGTATATATTTGTGTTTAGTAATTTCCTATTTATGCTACATATATGTATTTTGTACTTATATCCATAGCCCCTAGCATAGTGCCTAGAATACAGTAGGCACTTAATAAATACTTATAGACTGATAGTTTGATATAATGGAAAAAAGTATTGGATTTGAAGTGAGATGACCCTTGAAGTATTGAGTCCCAGTTCTGTCACTGAGTGATATAACTGATATGACCTTGGACAAGTCACTTAACTCTTTTATCTCTATTCTTTCCAGTTGAATAAGCTGAGAGATTCTAGCAGATGCATAAGTGAAAGACTATGTAGTGTAATAGAAGGATAATACTAGGCATGGAGTTAGGATATTTGGGTTTGAATTTAGGCTTATAAATAAGGAAACTATGCTTCAAAGAAATCAAGTAATTTGCCCAAATTTTCTGAAGCCCATTAAGTGGTAGAGCCAGGATGAGAACCCCATATCTTCTCACTCTCAGGATTGTTTTTATTGTGTCACGATAAAAGGGTTTTTAATGGGAGAATGACATAATAAAAGCTATACCCATAGGGAAGTTGGTTTGATGATGTGGTGCCTTTTACCAATATTATTCTAACTTTAAGTCCCATGGTTTTGATCAGTGATCTCTCTCTCTCTCTCTCTCTCTCTCTCTCTCTCTCTCTCTCTCTCTCTCTCTCTCTCTCTCTCTCCCTCTCTCTCTCCTCTCTCTCTCTCCCTCCTCTCTCTCTCTCTCTCTCTCTCTCTCTCTCTCTCTCTCTCTCTCCTCTCTCTCTCTCTCTCTCACACACACACACACACACACACACACACACACACACACACACATTCATTTTTCATTGCCACTAGGGTTTGACCTCTAGGGTTTGATTCCTTCCCTCTTTATACCCAGTTTTGGTCTTCACTTCTCCATGGTTCTGCTTCCTGAGGTCAGCATAAGACCTATTTTATTATTTTTTTTTTTTTGCTTTTTGTTGTTGTTGTTGTTGTTGTTGGGCAATATGGTTAAGTGACTTGCTCAGGGTCACACAGCTAGTGAGTGACAAGTGTCCGAGGCTGGATTTGAACTCAGGTCCTCCTGACTCCATGGCCTGTGCTCTATCCACTGCACCACCTAGCTGCCCCATAAGACCCACTTTAATCTTTGTTGCCTTTATCTTCTTTGTTGTGGCTTTTCACTATAAAGGTCTGAAGTAGCCAGAAGGGAAAAGTTACATAATAATGAAAGTCTTGAAAGTTAACCTTGTTCTTCTCCCTTGTTTGCATAATGTATTCCTGAGATGCATCTACTGGCAATGTAGGACCTCACACCTCTCACCTTTCTGGTAGGCTTGCTTGTTCCAGCTTGCCCTGACACTGACAAGTCTAGGTTCCCAGAGAAGGGCCATCATCAAACCACCACTCAAACTTTCTTAGAATTCTGGGAGGGTGACCCTATTGTGGGGAAATATACTCTTCCTACTAACCACTTTTGTTCTCAAGCCCCTATCACTGCAATTCTATGTACATAAACCCAGCCACTAGAAATGATGACATAGTTATATCTTAAACGTAATCATTTATTTGACCATCTAGTGGAAGCAATAATTATCATAACCTCATAAGTATTCATGTATTAAAACAAATGCAATAGTAATGCATCAGAGCTCACACATAAAACTGGGTTATACTTCCATCAACATACTTAGCATCTATGAGAAAGAGTGGGAATACATAAAACAATTTGCTCGGTCATCTAGGTACTAAGTAGCAGAGGTCCTCATTCCAATCCAGGGTTTTTGCCAAACTGGGTCTCACTGCTCTATTATATGTAATGTTTCACACAGGTCCAAAGTCCAAAGAAAATCAAAAGACTGAAACTAAATACTAATGAAAATTATTTCATTTTTTTACTATTTTTGGTAAGAATTTTTTTTTACCTAGCAGAATTTTGTTTATTGTTTCTGAGCCAATTAGAGAGCAGTAGACAAAAAATAAGTAGCATTAACAAATATGTGTGTGACCAAAATCAATTTTAAAGCTACCTTTAGGTAGCCATGGGCCATGGGTCATCTTGGATGTCTATTCATGCCATTAGGCTCCTAAATAAGTAATATCATTCATATCTTGTCATCCATGAATCTTACATTAAACTCACATTGCCTTCTTTATATTTTTATAGGTGTTGATGGTTTTGACTCCTGGAAGTGTTTACCCTAAGGGGGTGAGCTAGTACTAATGTTTGATGGTTATATACAAGCAGATTTTAGCTCAAAATAAAGGGAAAAAAACCTGATAATAATTGGAGCTGTGCAACAATGGAATTGGCTATCTTGAATGGGCAGTGAGTTCCCTAGAGGCTAGATAATCATTTATTAGGGACATTGTAGACAGGATTCTTGATTGGAAAAGAGTTTGGACAAAAGTTTTTTCTGAGAAATTTTCTAGTTCTAAGATTCCTTGGATCTTTAAATTTCTAGCTCTAAAATTCCTTGAATCTTTGAGTTTCTAGCTCTAAGATTACTTGGACCTTTAAGTCCTACGACTCAATGTTTTCCATTCTGGTTGGTTTGCCTAAGTAAATCCACTAGCCAGTTGTTACAGATGTTTGAGAAAAGTTATTTTTCCCCCCCTCTTGTTCAGCTAGGCTAGTATTTAGATCTAGTTCCTCAATAAAGCTGTGGAGTTTATGGTAGTTGCCCACACTTATTTTATCTTTTAATCAGCCTGGGATCCCTGTTTACTTGGGGATACATTAAGCTCTTATCTTTTGTTTTTTCAAATTCGTGCTCCTGGTTGAAGCTCCCATAAAATTGCTATTTCAGGCAAGCCTCTATCTCTTGGGTTATTGTGTTCACTGAGGTGATACAGGTCCCAAATCTAATAAAAGGCCTACTCATTTCCTACAATTCCTGTAGGATTGTTTAAATGGTTTCTGCTCTCCTCCTCCCTTCCTCCCATCTAAGTGATTTTTTTTAAAGAAACCGTTTCCTTAAAGGTTTATAAAACAACAACAACAACACTTTACACATACAGACGTTAACGACAGACCCTTGACACTAACAATGAGAGCAAGATTTTGGCACCATCAATGGTTTGAAAGTGGGGAGAAAGACTGGAGGAAAGGAAGCCAGTTAAGAGTCTGTTACAGGGGTCCAAGTACAAAAATAATGAGCACTTTGTATCAGGATTGTAGAGACAAGAATAGAGAATAAAGGGTAGATATGCATGACATGCCAAAGGAAGAATCCACTGGACTTGGCACCTGATTAGATGAAGGAGATAAAGAAGAGGAGTTCAAGGTGACTGAAGTACCAGGCTTGAGTAACGGAGAAAAGAGTGGTTTCAGTGACAGAAATAGAGGAGGCCTAGAAATGCAGGATGCCCCACAGGAATGACAGTTAAATGTTCTTCAAGAGCAAAGGTTCTTAACTTTTTTGTGGGTCATCCACCCCTTTGGCAGTCTGGTAAATCCTGTTCACTGCTACATATTGGTGCCTACATTCATAAATGAAAGAAATGCTCAACTGCAGCTATAAGTTAATTACAATAAAGATGTATTTTTCCATCCTAGTTTACAGATCTGCTGAAATCCATGGTATGAGGACCTCAGGTTAGCAACCCATGCTCTAGAAGTTATACTCTAAGAAAATATGAATTTTCTTCTGGTTTACAGCACTTAACAAAGGTTAGATAGATCTTCTTTCCACCAATGGAAAACTAAGATGTTTGAGGGTTATAGTGTGTAAGCACTTCCTATCTTTAAATACTCCACTTTGATTGACCAAGTTATGATTGTTCTCAGGACATTTTTTCCCCTGAGATTCTTGGCTTGTTCTGATGGATATAGGTGCTTTATTAAGTTTCCAAAACTTCTTTGTTTATGGAAGAAATGTTAAATATATTTGCCAAGAATTGAATTTGGAAACCTCTAGAATTTTCTTCTTAAGCTATATCTTTCAGTGTTTGCAATAGAACTAGTAAGATGGTCTTCCTTAAAAACTTTTATTGTTCCTCAGTGAAGTACGATAATTAAATGTATTAGTAACATTCAATACTTGTATTTGGTTAGGAACATGTTTTCAGTTTTTGATATTATTAGTTATTGTTGTAAAAGCATTCCTCTTCAGTTTTATCATTCTTTCACAATCTGTAATTTTATCGGGTTATTAGTAAAAATCAGTCAGTCATTAAGCACTTATTAATCACCAATTATGTGCCAGGCAATGTACTAAGCATTGACAATATAAGTACAAAAAAGGCAATCCTTACCCTCAAAAAGCTTACAATAAATCAAGAAGTTTGAGCTTGAAGGTCAGAATGTAAGATTTTTCAGCTGGGCTTCAATTGACAGGTGGTAGATCTCAGCATTGGTCTTTCTTTACTTTTTTTTTTTTAGTTGAATAAAATGTGTCTTTATTTATCTCTCTTTTTTCATGCAGATTCCAACAGTATTATGGCCGAGTACAGCCACATGCAGAACCAGCTGGATTTACAAAATGGTAGCTCAGAAGAAGGTTTTGTGGTGAATTCCCTTGAAAACAATCTCCAAGGCATAATGGATAGTTTAAACCAGAAGAAATACACTTCTAGCCTAAGATTTAAAACTAATGGAGACTACTCTGGCTCCTACTTAACTCTTTCACAACCAATGTCTGTCAAGAGAAGCCCGTCTCCTCTGGGGTCTGGTATCAGAAATGCCTCTTTGGCCAAAATCCAGGGAAGTAAACAGTTCTCTTGTGATGGCACTGACAAAAACATTTCCACCAAACCTCCCACTCCTTTTCTAGGTACTACACCCTCCCTTAGTGGATATCCCCTTGGGATCGCAGACTTTGATCACTGTGCTGGATGGGAGGATGAAAGGTCCTTGAAACTTGCTGATAAACTTCCTTATTCCAAGTACAGCTCAAAGAATAAGTCACATGACAATGTCTACTTTCTTGGGGGGCAAGAAGGCCGAAAGACATCAGGCTCCCTTTTGACCATGTGGAATGGAAACTCCATTAATGATGTTGGACTTTCACCTCTCCGGAAGTCTGGAGCAACAAGCATGCCCTCTAGCCCAAAGCAAGCCAGGAAGATGACCATTCAGGACAGCATGACTCTTCAGCCCAAAATGACAAAATACAAGGAAATAACCGCTGAGAATGTTGGTTTAAGAACCAGGAAATATTCAGGAAGCTCCCTAAGTCAAATGGGGGCATACAGCCGTTCACTGCCCAGGTTGTACAAAGCCACTGAGAACCAGCCGATGCCACTCAGCTTGCCCCCAAGAAACTCTCTAGGTAATTCCAAAAGAAAGAAACTTGGGGAAAAGGATCTACCTCAAAGCATAACAGATGCTGACAACTACCTTAATTTTTCTTCTTTAAGCTCAGGGGCTTTGCCATATAAGAACTTTTCATCAGACAGCAATCCATATGTTAGTTCTACTCTTAGCATTCCTGCAAGCCCCCGAGTGGCTAGGAAAATGCTGTTGACTTCCACCTCATCCTGTGCATCGGATGATTTTGACAGGATGATATTCTCAGGAACAAGCCCTAATAATTCGTTTTCTCCTGGAGAGTTCAATAGAGTATTTGCTGGCAGAAGGGACTTTTCTCGTAGCTCCATGGAGTTTGATGACTCTGACTTGGAGAGCCTCAGACAGACTTCCAGTACTCCCCAGCCAGTCCTTAGAGAAAGGAAAAGCAGCATTAGCTCCATTTCAGGAAGAGAAGATCTGATGGATTATCACCGGAGGCAAAGAGAAGAAAGGCTGAGGGAGCAGGAGATGGAGCGATTGGTAACTTTCCTCTTCTCACTCTTATTCACTGTTTCAGCTACTTACCAAAGAAGCCCTCTGTGCTGTATTGGTGTGGAATAGCCTTGGAGGTGGGGTCAAAAAAATATGCAGAAGTCTAGAATTTTCACCAGCTTTATTTGTGCTTACAACTGCTGTCCTTACTCATTTCCTAGATTTTCCTAGGTTCCCCTAATGTTCCCTATTTCATTAGATTTTTGGCATGACAGGTAATTTGACATAATGGATAAAATGCTGAGACTGGAGTCAGCAAGCACTAGGTTCAAATCATGCCTGCCTCATTTCTTACTGAGAGACCCTAGTCAAGTCATTTAAGTTCTCTGCTCTTTGGTTTCCTCATTGGTAAAATTGAAATGACGAACAATAACAAAACTCAATCAGCTAATCAATAAGCACTTATTAAGCATCTATCATGTGCCAAGCACAATACTAGGAACTAAGGATCCAAAGACAAAGAATGTAATAATCTTTACTTCCAAGGAGCTTATTAGGGGAAACAAAACATACATATATAAATACATACAGAATATATGAAAATAAATACAGTGCCATGTGGGGGAGAAGGACCTGTGTAGAAAAGGCATTTAAGCTGTGTTTTGAAGGAAGAAAAGAATTCTGAGGCAGAGGTGAAGAGGAAGTACATTACAGGCATGGGGAATATCATTGTAAAGGCACAGAAGATGGAGTGCCCTGTATGAAAAATATGGAGAAGGCCAATTTGACTGTTGTTGTTTAGTCATTTGCGGTTGTGTCTGACTCTTTGTGACCCCATTTGGGGGTTTCTTGGCAAAGATACTGGAGTAGTTTGCCATTTCATTCTCCAGCTCATTTTATAGATGAGGAAACTGAGGCAAACACAGTTAAGTGACTTGTTGGAGACACTCAGCTAGTAAGTGTCAGAGGCTGGATTTGAACTCAGGAAGATGAGTCTTCCTGATTCCAGGTCCAGTGCTCTATCCACTGTACCACCTAGCAATACTATATTGTGGAGTGTAGAAAGGAGAGTAATATATTATGAGGATAGAAAGATAGGTTGGGGATGAGTAGAGAAGGGCTTTAAAAACACTAAACAGAAGAGATTATATTTTATTCCAGAAGCAATAAGGAGTCCCTGGAAGTTATTAGGTAGGAGAATAACATGGTTGGATCTGTAATTGAGGAAAATCACCTTGAAAGGTATATGGAAGGAGTCTTGAATGGGGAAAGACTCAGTAGAGAGATGAATTAAGAGGCCATTGCAATAATTGAGTCAAGATGTGATGAGGTTTTACACTTAGGGGGCTTTAGATAGTAATAGTAAGTACCTTACATTAGAGATTTCTCTCAAAGCTCCATGGACTCTGATGAAGCCAATGTGGGCAGCCTTAGCCAGCCCTCATGGACTTCACCAACCTGTCCTTTGAAAAAGGAAACACAGCATTAGTAACATTTCAGCTGTGTGACCCTGGTCAAGTCTCTTAACCCTGTGTGCCTCGGTTCTTCATCTGTAAAGTGAGCTGAAGGAGGAAATGGCAAACCACTCTAGTGTCTCTGCCAAGAAAACCCCAAATGGGGTCACAAAGAGTCAGACATGACTGAAAAATGACTGAATAACAACAAAATAGAATTCAAGGTGGGAGATGGGAGGAGAAAGGAATAGGCATTTATATAGTACCTACTATGTAAGACCACTATGCTAAGAAGAGCTTTACACATATCATCTCATTTGATCCTTACATCGACCCTGTGAGGCAGGTGCTGTTATGATCTCCATTTTACAGATGAGGAAAATGAGGCAAACAAACGTTAAGTGACTTACCTGGGGTCACACAGCTAGTAGGAATCTAAGGCTAGATTTGAACTCAGTTCTATCCTGACTCCAGATCCAACACTCCATCCACTGTGCCTTGTATAAATCGACAGCAGATCTCACCAAGCTCCAGGTTTTATTGTTTTGTTTTGTTTTGTTTTTTTTTTTAACTCTTTCTAGGGTTTCCATTAAGCATTGTCTGAAGGGTACATTACTGTGGTGTAACAATTCCATGGCTTCAATACAGGCATACTGCCATTGATGGTCATTACTTGGTTCCAAGAAAACATAGTGTTCTTGAGCTAGTTGCAGACAGAGGGAGTCAATTTCATAGGAGCTGACCTAAGAGAGCCCTGGCCAGTGGGTGAGAGGGTGTTAGAAGCAGGAAGCAGAAGCTTATTAGGACACTTGTGGGTATAGCGACATTGTCATCATCTTAGGCTTTCATAGATCCATAATTTCACAAGTGTGAGTGCCTCTATCCATATAACTCAAGAAGTTGGGAAAGTTGAGCGTAACTGACCTGTATTGCTACAGCCCTGGGAATGGCTGATACCCTTACAACTTCTTTTGGTGTGTAGGAGAGGCAGGAGATGAGAGAGACATTCTTCTTGGTTGTTGCTTAGGGTTAGAGTAAATCTTCTCTTAGGGAAGGGAAACTCCCTTCACATATGAAAGTGTTCATAAGTGCTGGAAATTATACTGCCTTCTAGATCTGACTCAAAGGAATTTCCTCCTCTTTGATGTAGCCTTCCTCTTACTGCATCCTGAGTATAAGTGTTTTTGAAAGTCTTAGGATTGTGGATTTAGTTTCTCATTTCGTATATGAGAAAACTGCCACTGGTGGGGTTAAATGACTTGCCCAGGATCACATGGCTAATAAGAGCCTGAGGCAGAATCCAAATTCAAGTCTTCCTCACTCAAAGTTCATTATTAGACCAAAATGATTGAAATATTTGCAGGTATAGTATTCTTAATCTGGGGCCCATGAACTTTCTATAAATATATTTTGAAAATTGTATTTCAGTATAATTAGTTTCTTTTGTAATCCTAAATATTTTATTTTATGCATTTAAAAACATTATTTTGTTGTTGTTGTTGTTGTTGTTGGGCAATGGGGGTTAAGTAACTTGCCCAGGGTCACACAGCTAGTAAATGTTCTGTGTCTGAGGCTGGATTTAAACTCCGGTCTTCCTGAAGTCAGGGCCGGTGCTCTATCCACTGCACCACGTAGCTGCCCCATAGAAACATTATTCTGAGGAAATACTTCATAGGCCCTGCCTCCAAAGACATGACACTGAAAAACTTAAGAAACCTTGAACTGGTGGGACCCAAGCTAAATGGTCTTCTGATTAATGTGAATGGTATCAAAATACCCAGACTGCTTAGGCCAAAGAGCTTGGGCCTTTTAAGGTCTCATATTGATTTGACCTAAAGGTAAAGATAAATTGTTTCTGAGACACCTTCTTACCTACCAGGTAAGCTAGGTGGTATAAGATATCGAACACTGGACTTAGAGTTAAAAAGACCTGAACTATTCCTGCCTTACACACTCTGTAACTGGGTGACCCTGGGCAACTTTTCCCAGCCTCAGTTTCCTCATCTGTAAAATGGGAATAATAACATCACCTACCCCTCCCCAAAGGTACCATGAGGATTAAACAAGATAACCTATGAAGTGCCTTGGGAATCTTAAAGCACATTGAAATGCCAGCAATTAATATTTTTATCTTTACTAGTCTAAAACAACTTTCTAGTTATGAATTGCCTGGCCACTTCTCTCCATTTCATACTCACTTCTTTTGGTAAACATATCTGGATTAAGGGCCATGGGATGATAATATCTGTTGGCTTAGCATGATTAACAGAAGACAAACTCTCCAGGGTGTTGAATAAAATTACGCAGATTTGAATAACCACAAATGTAAAAAGATCTATGCAATCATTTATCAGCATACTGAACTCACAAGGCAAGGGCTGTCTTTGCACATTCTAAACAGCACTTGGCTGGCATATTTGCAGGCCTTCAGTAAATACTGAAGCATTTAATCATTAGCGGAGTCGGATTGCCAGCTGTCTCCAGATGACCAGAAACAAAAGCAGAGATTTCATTTCATTTCTTTATTTATTTTTTGGTATTGTTCTGTGGATTGAAGGGAAGGCAAGCTGGAAAACTCCAATCATCTCCATTTTCTTTAACCTTATGTTTTAGACTCTCAGACTCACGTCCTGAAAGTAATCCTATATAGCATGATTTGAAAGGCCAGTATCCTTAATTAATACTTGACAGCAAACTCTGGGCTGCTGATCTGTGATGGCAGTACAATCTGCCGCCTCTTGATGGTGCCACAATTTTACAAATCATCACTTTGAGGGGAGCATGCCCTGAAATCCAGGCACTGCAGATTAGTTGTCCTGCTGAATTCTGGCAAGGGATCTAGAGGGTAACTTTATTAGAACTTGTTGTTTCAATCACAAGAGATATCTTACTTATCTTTTTAAAGGTTAAGTGAGTTAATACAACGAAAAGTGTTTGATGTTTAAGATCCCTTACAAGTATACTTCAGTGCTTCAGGTATCAGTGATTCAGTCAAAATAGGTGCTTACACAGACCTCAGCCTCAATCTTGAAGAGCTGCCATAGCCAGAAAATCCGATACCCTAGGGCAATCTAGCCACGAGTCACTCTGACTTGGAAAACAGAAATACACTATGTCTTAGGGTCCATGAGAGAAGCCTTTCTGGCTTGGCAGGATCTACAAGAGTTGACCTTCGACTGATATAACCTTCAGGATGCCAGGTTAATTTAGGGTAGAATATCTTACTAGTTAAACTGACAAGTAATGAGTGGTATTCAATCTGAAGTTAGAGAACCTGATTTCAAATCCCTTCTCTACCACGTAGTACTAGTCTAATCTTGATTAAGTCACTTAGCCTTTCTTGGCCTCAGTTTCCTGATCTGTAAAATGAGGGCAATTAGTGTCATAAGATCTCTTCTAGCTCTGTGTCCATGAACCCATGAATATGAATACCTTAATAGATAGATAAATAGACAGATAGACCAATAGATAGACCAATAGATGGATAAATGAGATGAAAGCTTATAAGAAAGATGGAAAAAACCACTCTTGCTCTTCATGCTCTTGGTGAATCCCATGTTTTTAAAATTACTTTCCACATAAATGAATATATAT